ATAAATCATTGTATGAATGCTGTAATGTTTAAATAATTTTTGGGTAAAGATGCGCGAGGGTCATGTGACCATCAGTAAGAATGCAGCATCACATTTCTCTCACGATGCATTCTCTGTTCAAGCGGTCTCCCAAGTTCGTCCTTCTGAAGTGACCTGGCAGGAACAGTCTTTACGAGAATGCAAGTCCGTTCTCTGCATTCTTGGAATTGAGAAACAGCCTCTGTCATCATTTACTCACCTTTGACTTGTTGAAAACCTGTTTGAGTTTCTTTATGCAGTTGAACATAAGAGAAAATATTTTGAAGAATGTTGAAAACCAGTAAAACTATGGAAGTCAGTGGTTATCCAACATTCTTCAATATAATCTTCTGCGTTCAACAGAACAATAAAACAGGTTTGGATCAAGCCAAGTGTGAGTAAATGATGACCGAATTGTCATTTTTGGGTAATTTCTCCCTTTAATTAAAAAAAAAAAGGTGCTTAAGTATTAATGATAGTCAGTGCGTTAACTAATATCCCCTAATAGGAGCGCTTATTATTATTATCATAATGCTCTTAATAAATGCTTAAATAGCAAAGAAAAAAAGTTCCTTCGATGATGTACTGCAGAAAGTCACATGAGTTTGGAACAACAGGGTGAGGAAATGATGACAGAGGTTTTATTGTGGTTGAAGCCTTCTTTTAAAATAGAAAAGGGACATGCAGAATTATTTAACAGCACAAGAGAACTGGTGCTGATGAAATTAAAGAGCTAATAGAAGAGCAGACAAGGGACGAAGAGAGTGAGAGAATGCAAAGAGAGACGTTGGAGAAGAAAGCCTCTGACTCATCCTCAGCTGCGGGGGCGAGGGAGGTTTCTCTCCTTCTCTCTCTCTTTCTAATGCATGTGGGAGTAAATAAGCCGTAAGACGGACAGAAAAGGGAGATTTCTCCATATCTTCTTCCTCTCACAGGTGGGCACAGCTCTGGCACGTGTGTAAACAGAGGCCTTTTCTGTCCTCCTCCTTTGCTTCTGCCTCTCTCTTCCTGTCTCCTCATTGCTTGCCTTGTGATTAATCATGATCCGCAATGTAATTATGCCACAAAACAGGACACTTGGAGAAAAACATATTGAAACAGACTCAATAAAATGCCGAAATTAAATTTTCATACACAATTCGCCAGCTAATGAGGATACGCTTCCCCTGGTGTGCTAGCCATGTGTAGCGCTGCGTTTCTGTAATGATTGTTGTTTTCTTTGAACCAAGGAGCATAAGGCGTAAAATATAGATTAGCACATGAACAAAAATGCAAAAAGGGGCAACACGGTGGCCTCAAAGCAAGAAGGTCACTGGTTCAAGTCCCGGCTGGGTCAGTTGGCATTTCTGTGTGGAGTTTGCATGTTCTCCTCGTGTTGGCGTTGGTTTCCTCCGGTTTCCCTCACAGTCCAAAGACATGCGCTATATTCTTGCCTAGCAGGTTTCTGACCTTAAAACACTTGTCTTCTCATGTGTTGATTTTTCCTATCATCTCTCTCTGTCACCTCTGTCCACCCCTTATTAGTGTTCTCGGGCATTATAATTAAGCGTCCAGTTGTCATGGAGCCGTGTTAGAGCTGTGGGACAGACTCTACTGCAGTGGCATTTTTCTCCGTCGGCTTTCTCAGTCGGATGGAGAGATGCCAAATGGCTCAAAGAAAGCACACATTTGCTGGTTCAATACCGCAACACAAGCAAGGACGTCTGCTGGTGTCTCCGACAGCCTACGTGGTGCAAATATTTAGCAGTATACCAAAATAAACAAGCGCTTCAGTTTTATATGGCCTTCAAATATGCTTGCGCTTTAGAAAAACCTGGGGAAATCTCGAAGCGTGGATATAAGATGAGTGTTTATTGACTGCAGCGCCAAAGGGGTTTGATGTAAGGTCACACACAAACATGCTGTTTCTTGTTGTTTTATCCAAGTGATTAGTCTTCTAGGGTTGGATACTGAAACCTGAGTTTTAATTTGCAGAATCTCCAGGATTTTATGTACTGATATGTACGGTCCTAAATCAGAAAGCAGAAATCAATACATCATTTTGGTGCTACTTAAAGTTCAACCAAAAATTAATTACTGACCCATGTCATTCCAAACCATTAACACAAATAATGATATTTTAGATGAAGTCCAAGAGCTTTCATCCTCCAAACAGACAGCATTAGTCCCAAATATTTCAATGTGCAGAAAATTACCAAAACAAAATCCTCAAAACACTCCATATGCCTTTAGTGGTTCAATCATTGTATCATCAAGCTACAAGGATACTTTTGTGTGCTATTGTTTTCCTCAGTGTCAGTATAGGGCGCATGTTCACAAGAGAGATGTGCTCTGTATGTTTATCGCACTTTGACACACTGCTTTACTTTACAATAGTCGCATGATAGTGAATACGTTCACATTAATGTATATGCTTGTCTGTCAAGCTTCTCTATTCACTGTTTGGTGCCACTATGTGACTGAAAAATATGTAGGTTAATGAATGCTTCATTCAGCCGTTTTTGTTTTTGTCTGCTTTGGTTTAATTAAAAAAAGTAAAAATTATTATGGATCAGAACAATCTTTTATGTCCAATTCTTACATTTTGTTGCAAGAAGCCCTTTGTGTACTTAGCTTTGGGCTGCTGATAAGCATGTTGGACTTTATTCTGCGATAACAATAGTCTGGATGTACGTAATCCCTTACTTAAATTATAGTAGCTGGTTTAGGTGGCTTAGTTTTATTGTGAATTTGTTATGTAAAGTTGTTTTGTATTTACGTCTATTTTTATACTTAATACTTTAATCTTTAAACACATTGTTTCTTAACCACAATCCTGGTGGACCACCAGCTCTGCAGATTTTCCATGTCTTCTTAAACAAACACAGAGACTGAAAGACCTGTAATGGGTGTGACAAAAACATGCAGTGTTGGTGGTCCTCCAGGAGCGTGGTTGAGAAACACTTTTCAAGAGTTCAAACTTAGTTGATGACTGATAAAAAAGTGTGTTTGGCATGCTGTCTTGGGAAAGAGACCTGAGCTCAAACTATCCTCCAGCCTGGGGCTCCCTCCCGTTTATTGGGCAAGAGAAGAGTTTGAGCTCATGTAGGTCTTGAGAACTCCCCTGCTTGTGAACGTGTTTAGAATAGCTGAGATATAGCTGGCTATGAGTTTGTCTTAAGATGCTACTTTTGAGTAGTCAGATTACTTATGATGCATGTCTTTGGACAGTGAGAGGAAACCGGAGAAATCCCACACGAGCACGGGGAGAACATGCAAACTCCGCACAGAAATGCCAAATGGCCTGGTGAGGGGTCGAACTAGTGGCATTCTTGCTGTGAGGCAACAGTGCTAACCACTGGGCCGTCATGCCACCCATCTAGGAAAGGAGGAGTAGGGGTGAAAGGGGGGATTCTTCAAGATGAAGATGACAGAAGTGGAAAACTCTGGTTATTTATAGTGAGTCAGTATTTATTTGATTGCCGCAATATGTGGAGCTGATGCGGGACCAGCCGTGATCAATCATAAGCATGTGTTCCTCCCAAAATAGTTTATAAGTAAACCGCATTTAATATATTGTTTCAATGGTGTTTTTTGGATCTTTTTTATCAAAAGTATCACTTTAGGCATGATATCGCATGAAAAGTTTTGATTGGCAGCGCCATTGCTACATTAGTCAATACACCAACATTTACAGTATAGTGCAACTGCACTGCAGGCGTCCTGAGTTTCAGTTCGGACTCGCAGGACCTCTCTCCTGTGGTCCCATCGAAATTCACTTCTACTGTCTACTTTATTACTAAAATAATAAAGGCCAAAAATATTACCAATTATGTATATGCAGTTGAAGTCAGAATTATTGGCCACCTTAAATTATTAAACCGCTTGTTTATTTTTCCCTCAAAAAAACAGAGAAAAGATTTCTTCAACTCATTTCTAAACATAATAGTTTTATTAACTCATTTCTAATAACTGATTTATTTTATCTTTGCCATGATGACAGTAAAATAATATTTGACTAAACCTTTTTCAAGACACTTCTAAACAGCTAGTAGGTTAAGGTAGGAACCTAGTAGGACAGGATAGGGTTATTAGGCAAGTTATTGTATAACGATGGTTTGTTCTGTAGACTATAGAGAAAAAAATATATAGCTTAAAGGGGCTAATAATTTTGTCCCTAAAATTGTTTAAAAAAAATGTTAAACTTTTTTTTATTCTAGCTGAAATAAAACAAATAAGACTTTTTTTCAGAAGAAATAATATTATCAGACATACTGTGAAAATTTCCTTGCTCTGTTAAACATCATTTATAAAATATTTAAAAAATAGGAAAAAAATCAAAGGGGGCTAATGTATGGTGGAATATAGTGGAATATACTGATGAATCATTAGCCTTCCTGTTAGCGTCCCTTTTTTTCTTTTTCAAGTAATTCCCAAATGATGATCAACAGAGCAAATCATTTTTTTTGCAGTATTTCCTATAAAACTTTTTCTTCTGGAGGAAGTCTTATTTGTTTCATAGAATAAAGGCAGTTTTTAATTTTTTTAAAACAATTATAAGGTCACTATTATTAGCCCCCTTAAGCAAATTTTCTTTTGATTGTCTACAGAACAAATCATTGTTATACAATAACTTGCCTAATGTCCCTAACTTAGCTAATTAACCTAGTTAAGCCTTTAAATGTCACTTTAAGCTGAATACTTTTGTCTTGATAAAGATCTAGTAAAATATTCTTTACTGTCATCATGACAGATAAAATAACTCGGTTATTAAAACTATTATGTTTAGAAATGTGTTGAAAAATCTTTTCTTTGTTAAACAGAAATTGTGTAAAAAATATACAGTGGGCTAATAATTCAGGAGGGCTAATAATTCAGACTTCAACACAGTAATTTTACTACCGATACTGTAAAAAAATAAACAAAATCATACAGTACCTAACCATTTTTTGAGACATGTGTCTTTTCATAACTCTTTTTTTCCCCTCTTTTGCAATTTCCAGAAACTTCCGGAAGCATTTACGAATGGTGGGCAGCAGACGAATGAAAGCACAAAGTGAGTCTCCGTGTGAGAGTACAGTACGGATGAATGCACAGCTCCATTTGTGTTTGTCTTGTGTGTTATTATTTGTACACATGATGCATTGTGTTGTGCAGCAATGCATGTTGACATGTGCATGGAGGATGATTGACAGTTCTGAACAAAAATAAATCAACGGTTGAGGACAAGCGTTGGTCCATTTTGCTTCTGTGTGTGTTTCCAGTGTAGCAATGGAACTAAATACACATTGAAGCTTGTGAGAAATGTTTGTGTAGCTGGTTGGTGGTGTGGTGTGTTGGTGTGTGTGTGCTGAGGCCCTTGGTCTGTGAGGATTATGGGACGTTGCGCGTGTGCGTGCGTGCGTGTGTGTGTGTGTGTGTGACCATCTCTCCAATTCACTAGCATTTGCAGAGCGCAGGGCGAAGAGTTTCAACCGATCCTGGAGCGATCCAACCCCTGTCAAACAAGACTCTCTAACCGACTCAAAAGACAGTGAGTCCACCTGTACACACACACACACTCACACACACACACACACTCACACTTAGAGTTCCCATATCTCAAGATGACTACATAACATGCGGGAAAACTCAACATTAGTTAGTTGATAAGCAGTTGTCAGTTCATATCTGATTATTTGTGTATCTGATTGGAATCTGATCTAAATGATTGACAGTTCATGTTGATCTTTTGTTTTATAGAATATCGACATGATTTTCTATGGCATTAAATAAGTATTTTATTGGTATTACTAACTAAAATTCAACGACAACAATGGTTGCAATATACAATACCTGACAAAAGTCTTGTTGTCAACCCCAGTTGTGAGGGCATCAAATAATATAATTTGGTAAAGTGGCAGAAGGTAGATCTTTCTGATAAATCATCTGTTGAACTGCATCCCAATCATCACAAATACTGCAGAAGACCTTTTGGAACCTGCATGAACCAAGATCCTTATCGAAATCACCAGACATGAACATTATTGAGCATGTCTGGGGTAAGATGAAGGAGGAGGCATTAAAGATGAATTCAGGGTGTCTTGATAAACTCTGGGAGTCCTGCAAGAATGATGTCTTTGCCACTCCAGATGACTTTATAAATAAGTGATTTGAGTCATTGCAGAGATGTATGGATGCAGTCCTTCAAGCTCAAGGGAGTCATACACAATATTAATTCTTTTTCCACTGAAGCATGACTTTATATTCTATACTGTACATTATTTCTATTTAGTGACAATAATTTAGTTTAAGAAAAGTCAGACCTTACTTTCCTAATTAAATAATTATAAATCAAGGCATGATTATATTGTATTTTGGTAAAATAAGCATTGTCTAGAAGCCTTTGACTTTCATATAAGCGACTTCTGATACCAAATGATCAACTAGAAGTCAAGTTATTATTTGTTGTTCCTAAAACTTGGATAGGCGACAAGACTTTTGCCAGGTGGTGTACATGTCCTACAACATGACAAAATATCATAGTTGTGCTGGATTATTGTCATATAAGGGGATCACAAAAAATGTAGCATTCAAAGTGTTGTGTTGTAGAACTGTGTTGTGATATCTTTTATGATTTTTTTTTCAATATTAAACAATGTTTGAGATTTAAACAGTGTTTTAGTGCTGGTATCTTGGCTAGTTTAGGCCTTACGTGGATAAGTCATTAAAACACTAAAACCAGTGTCATATAGTGGCAAGTCATGTCTTAATAAGTGATTCAAAGAGTAATTCTTTTAAAAAAATGTAAATCACTGATTCATTAAGTAATGTCACTGTCTTGAATGGATCATTGAATCATTCTCAATATGTGTTTCTATTTTCTTTAGTTTTTAGATAATGTAAGGTCACACATCTCTAAAACAGCAATTATGAGATTATTGGATATGATATACAGTTGAAGTTAGACTTATTAGACCACCTTTGATTTTTCTTTTTTTAATCTTTCTCAAATTATGTTTAAAAGAGCAAGGAAATTTTCACAGTATGTCTGATAATATTTTTTCTTCTGGAAAAAGTCTTATTTGTTTTATTTCAGCTAGAATAAAAGCCGTTTTTAATTTTTTAAAAGCCATTTAAAGGTCAAAATTATTAGCCCCTGTAGACTATATTTTTTTCTGTTAGTCTACAGAACAAACCATCGTTATACAATGCGTTTGCCTAATTACCCTAACCTGCCTAGTTAACCTAAATAACCTAGTTAAGCCTTTAAATGTCACTTTAAGCTGTATAGAAGTGTCTTGAAAAATATCTTGTCAAACAGGGGGCTAATAATTCTGACTTCAACTGTAAAATTCTTTTCTTTTTTTTTTTACAAAGGTTGTGCTATGTGTAACGTGTTTTGAAGAAATCAGTCAAATTGAGCTGTCAGAATAAACTGAAATCTAATTCAATAGTTCACACTTAGATATTGCATGTTGCTATTTGCAGATTTTGCATGCTGTCCCGGGAGAGAACCCTGAGCTTGGAGATAATCAAGCCCAAGGCTCCTGCCTGGTCAATTAGCACATAAGGAGATCATATCGAGAGCTCCTGGTAAAGGGAGGAAATGGGGTGGAAGAGGGTTTCTTCCAAAATAAAGCTAAAGCAGTAGGGGGAAATCAGTCTATTTATTGTATAGGCTTCAATCAGTCTGATTGGATTATTGCTGATTACAGATGAGAGGCCAGTCACGATCAATCACATGCTTCTCTTAAATTAGTTTGTAAAACTTCACTAAATGTGATTCGAAAAATATTCCAAACCACATTCAGTATGAGTGTAGGATTTGTACATTTCTTTTGGTTATTAAGCGCTTGATAAGTATGATTGTACTCCATCCAGATATGCACAAAAATCTGATATGGATTTACAGTCTAAGCAAAGGTACATTTACACTACTGTTCAGAAGTTAAGGGTCAGCAAGGGTTTATAAATGTTCAACTAAAATTAAGCACGTTTTGCTTACCAAGGCTGCATTTATTTGATCAAAAACTTAATATTAGAAAAGAAATTAGGCAATTAGGTAAAATATTATTATAACTATACAATGAAATTGTATTTTAATATGTTTTAAAATGTCATTTATTCCAGTCATTGACATATTCCATGTCAAAGCTATATTTTCAGCCTCACTACTCCAGTCTTCACTCCTCGGCAATCCAATTTGCTGGTTTGTGGTTAAAAAACATTTAATAATAATAATAATAAGAAGAAGAAGAAGAAGAAGAATTATTATTATTATTATTTTTTTTAAATTACAAATCTGCTTAATATTTGGCGACAGGGTGGCGCAGTAGGTAGAGCTGTCGCCTCACAGCAAGAAGGTCGCTGGTTCGAGCCTCGGCTGGGTCAGTTAGCATTTCTGTGTGGAGTTTGCATGTTCTTCCCGCATTCACGTGGGTTTACTCTGGGTGCTCCGGTTTCCCCCACAGTCCAAAGACATGCAGTTCAGGTGAATTGAGTAAGCTAAAATTGTCTGTTTGTGAATGGGAGTGTGTGAGTGTTTTCCAGTGATGGGTTGCAGCTGAAAGGACATCTTCTGCATAAAACATGTGCTGGATAAGTTGACGGTTCATTCCGCTGTGGCGACCCCAGATTAATAAAGAGAAAAGAAAATGAATGAATGAATGCTTAATATTTCTTAAAGTAGATACTTTAAAAAGCATACTTTTCTGAATTCTTTGATTAGAAAAATCTAAATTATTTTGAAATAGCAACATTGTAACTTTACTATTACTTTTTTTAAAATTCTTATTTTATTGAACATTTTGATTTTGAACTAAGCCCGAGATCCACCCAACAAGATATGTAAAATAAAAATAAAAAACAGTAATATCGTATTAATAAGTACAAAATCAGGATTGAAATATAAATGATTCAGTCTCTCTCATATTTGACCAGAGTTTTTTTTTTTTACTGGCTTCATTGATTTTGGCTGTGGTGTATTCCAGACTAATAATGTCCAGTAGATAGAGCCTCCAGGATAGATCAGTTGGAGCAGATGGATCCAGCCATAGTTTCAGGATACTTTACTGTTACTTTTGGTCAATTAAATGCATCTTTGCTATTTATTTTCTTTGGATTTCTTTTTTTTTCTTTCTTTTTTTAATCCTGCCCCAAACTTTTGAACATTTTACATAAAGATAAAACTCAATCCCCAGTAGTCAGAGGTGTTGTTGTACAGTCTGGCAGTGTTGAAGCTGATGCTGTTTGTCTGTGTTCCTCTGAGCTTCTTCTGTCCCGAATCTGTGCCCCTCTCTTTCTCTATCTGTGAGTATCTGTCCCGCCTGGAGCGTCTGGACTCTGGAGACACCACTGTTTGTGTGTGTGTGTGTGCGAGTGTGTGTGTGTGCGTGTGTGCGTGTGTGCGTGTGTGTGTGTGTGTGTGTGTGTGTGTGTGTGTGTGTGTGTGTGTGTAATTCTGTGTCAGCATGTTAACTGTGTACAGTAGTTTGTCTTTGGACTTATTTTTGTCTTCATGTTTGTTTTTGACACCTGTGTCTTCGGGGAGCGTGGTGAACGATTGTGAACATTTGACTTACAAGTGTAATATTTGTGTGTTTTCTCTGTCTGTTTTCTCTCTCTCTCTCTTTGCAGCTGGAGTTTTTCTCTGCTTTTTAATCTCTGTCGCATTACAGTCTCTTGTTACAGTTTAATATTTATACGCTATAGTTATGTATTCAAATGGACTGCAGTCAAACAAGTAATTGGGGATTCATCATTTATTATTTTATAATTGAAGTTAAGAGGTTTGTTTATCAGTTAAAGGGTCAGTTCACCCAAAAATGAAAATGCTCTCATCATGCTCTCATCATTTTCTCATCATTCCAAACCCCTGTTGTTTTTTTTGTGTGGAAATTGTTTCAAACACCGGCTATTTAGTTGCTGGACAAGAAGGACAGCTTTTCTGTTAATGCGCAGCAGTTACAATGAAAAAAAAACAAACCTTTCTTTTTCTTTGTAATTCAAACAAGATTATGAGTGTTTGTTTTTATAGGCCTATAATGTTGATTATGAGTGTATTGTTTCTTGTCAGTTATTATGTTACTTTTTGCGCAGGTTTTACTTATTTGAATATCATTTTATTATGTTTTTTTCCCTTTAATTTAATTAAAAATATTAAATTTTTACTTAATTTAAATGAACAGTTAAATTTAATTTAAAAAACATGTAATTTAAGTTAAGAGAATTTTTACTTTCTAAAATGATGGAAGTATATTGCACAGTTTAAGTCAATTATTAGCCCCACTTAGATTTTTTTTTTCCTTTTTTAATTATTTGCTAATTGATGTTTAACAGAGCAAGTACATTTTCACAGTATGTCTGATAATATTTTTTCTTCTGGAGAAAGTCTTATTTGTTTTATTCCAGCAAGAATAAAAGCAGTTTTCAATTTTTATGAACCATTTTAGGGTCAAAATTATTAGCCTCTTTAAGCTATACAGGTACAGTGTTTTTCGACTGTCTACAGAACAACACTGTTATACAACACTGTTATAAAATAACTTGCCTAATTACCCAATCCTGCCTAGTTAACCCAAGTAACCTAGTCATCATGACAAAGATAAAATAAATCAGATATTAGAGATGAGTTATTAAAACTATTATGTTTAGAAATTTATTAAAATTAATCTTCTCTCCATCAAACAGAAATTGGGGAAAAAATAAACAGGGGGGCTAATAATTCAGGGAGCTAATAATTCTGACTTTAACTATATATTCTTTAAAAATAAGTGACCTTCACAGCCCGATGGATATATAAAGTGGTTCTCAGAGCAGACAAGAAGTATTGCATTAAATTCTATTTTTCCCTGCCATCTCTTTAAAATATGAAAATGTATTTTCGCCTGCTGCCACTGACGGCGCTAGAGTTTACACAATCTATTTTCTTGTTTTATGCTTGAACAACTAAATCAGGAGTGGCCAACCCTGTTCCTGGAGAGCCACCTTCCTGCAGATTTCAGTTGCTACCCATATCAAACACACCTGAACCAATTAATTAGGACCTGAACACCACATGATAATTACAGGCAGGTTTGTTTGAAATGGGTTGCAACTGAAATCGGCAGGAAGGTGGCTCTCCAGCAACAGGGTTGGCCACCCCTGAATTAAAGGAATGTTTAAGTTTATTTAACTGTTAATAAAATTTGCTATGTTGATGCTGTAAAAGGAACTTTATAAAAATAAAAAAAAAATTAAATCCCATTAATCTTATAGCAGAAGTTGAGAAAAACACTAGCTTTTCATAAAGCCCATTGCAAACAATATAAAAACAACATGATGCTATAAAACAAACATGGTTGTGTTTGACATATCTAGAGCAAACTATCTTTCAACGGGACTTCCTCAAACATTCTCTTTACATTTTTCCACGTAAAAAATAGCAGCATGAAGGTCTGGAATAACGTTTTTAGGTGGACTCCTCCTTTTATCTGGATGTTTTTTAGTGAGCAGAAGCAAAACTAAAAATAAAAGCCGACAGTCCATGTAGACAGATCTGTGTCTGTGTGTCTTCTGATTGCATTGTCATGTCTCTATGGTGATGGTGTGTGTGTTGTGTTGCTGTGACAGGTGGAGAGCTGCAGGGCACCTGCTGCACCCCAGATGAGGCCAGATGTGAAGACATGGACTGGGAGGAGGAGAGAGAGATGGAGAGACTGGCCTGTGAGGGAGACGACTTTATCCCTCCCAAAATTATGGTGCAGTATTGATTTAAAATGTATTTTATTGTATGGTCTAGTGTTCATTCATTTGACTCTTGGTTCATTTGTTTTTATTTGACTTAAGCTCAATTGCATTTAATTTCAAACTTTTTATGTAAATAACTAGGGGAGAGGGTGTCGGTCTAGGTTTTTTATTTTTGAATGCTTATTTATTTTTAAAATAAATTCATAAAAATGTATCATTTATATTTTCTTATTCAGTTTTATAAACTGTTATACAGTATATTTACTTTTATTTATTATTTTATTTTATTTTATTTTTACTTATAACAACTTATAAAGTAAAACTTTTTTTTAAATTTATATTTACTTTAATTCAAATTTTCTTTTTTATTTAGTAGGGGAACAGCTGCATGCCATCTCCATATCCATTTCAGAACTTTTCTAAGCATAATAGTTTTAAAATCATATTTATAATAACTGATTTATTTTATCTTTGTCATGATGACAGTAAATAATATTTTACTAGATATTTTTCAAAACACTTCTATACAGCTTAAAGTGACATTAAAAGGCTTTACTAGGTTAATAAGGTGAACTAGGCAGGTTAGGGTAATTAGGCAAGTTATTGTATAACGATGGTTTGTTCTGTAGATTATTGAAAAAAAAAATAGCTTAAAGGGGCTAATAATTTTGTCCCAAAAATGATTTTTTAAAAATTAATAACTGCTTTTATTCTAGCCGAAATAAAACAAATAAGACTTTCTCCAGAAGAAAAAATATTATCAGACATACTGTGAAAATTTCCTTGCTCTTTTAAACATCATTTGGGAAATATTTAAAAAAGAAAATAAAAATCAAAAAGGGGCGAATAATTCTGACTTCAACTGTATATATATATATATATATATATATCTGTCTGGTTCTTGAATCTGATTGGCTGATAGCATTGATATATTTAAGTAATATCAGCACCCGTACAGCCTCTTTACCCTTTGTGTATTACTCCGCCCACATACAGCCAGTAAAAAGCAGACACTACAGATCTAAAGTTTAAAAGATGCACGCTCAACTGTTTTAACTGTCAACTTATGATTTGAATCCAAGGCAGAAGAAAGTAGTTCCTCATACAAAAGTGTTTTTGAGACTCTCCATGTTTGATTTTGTTTTTATATACACAATTATGCCGTCAAACTGTTGTATAAATGCAATATCACACTCGTAGCAGCGCAATATGGCTGTATATCGGCACTGGCCATATTGCACTGCTACGAGTGTGATATTGCTCATATATATATATATATATATATATATATATATATATATATATATATATATATATATATTCATTAATTTTCTTCTCGGCTTAGTTTCTTTATTAATCTGGGGTAGCCACAGCGGAATGAACCGCCAACTTTTCCAGCATATGTTTTATTCAGCGGATGTCCGTCCAGCTGCAACCCATCCCTGGGAAACATCCATACACACTCATTCACACTCATACACTGTGGACAATTTAGCCTATGCAATTCACCTTTTGCACATGTCTTTGGACTGTGGGGGAAACCCACGCATACGCGGGGAGAACATGCAAACTCCACACAGATACGGCAACTGACCCAGCCGAGTCTCGAACCTCTGACCTTCTTGCTGTGAGGCGACTGCACTACCTACTGCCACACCAAAAATTATAAAAATAAAATAATAATGAATAATTATATATATATATATATATATATATATATATATATATATATATATATATATATATATATATATACTTTAACTTATTATTCTAATCTTTTATTCATTCATTTATGTACTGTTTATTATTCTAAATTTAATGTACTTTATTTCTATAGATATTTATTTGCTGTTTTACATTTTTTATTTAATTAACCCTAATTAAAATTTAATATTAATTGTTATTAATATCCAGTTAACCCGTATACATTCATTCAATCATTCATTTTCTTTTCAGCTCAGTCCCTTTATTAATCAAGGATTGCCACAGTGAAATGAACCGCCAACTTATCCAGCATATGTTTTACACAGCCAATGCCCTTCCAGCTGCAACCCAGCAATGGGAAACATTCATACACACCCATTCACACACATACACCATGGACAACTTAGCTCACCTATTTAAACTATTGTATAGCACATGACTTTAGACTGTGAAAAAGCCGGAGCACCCGGAGGAAACCCATGCAAACACGAGGAGAACATTTAAACTCCACACAGAAATGCCAAGTGACTCAGCTGAGGCTCAAACCAGCGACCTTCTTGCTGTGAGGTTACTGTGCTACCCACTGCACCACCGCGCCACCCTAATTTACCTGTATATTTATTTAAATATTTAATTTAATTTACATTACAAATGAATTCCTAGATCCTTTTTCATCTTTTTATATAAAGAAAGGTACAACCTCCATCTCTCCATCTCTTTTCAGTGTAAGACCTCTCCATCTGTCACTCTCATATTTTCAATGTTTATTTGTATGTTTTACAATATTTCCCTATGCTCATTATTTTCATCTCTACAATTTGTATTTTCAGCTGATCTCATCTAAAGTTCCCAAAGCCGAATATCTTCCCAACATCATCAAAAGAGACGATCCTTCTATTATCCCCATTCTCTACGTAAGCCAAGCCTGTTTTTACTCTACATCGTTTATTGTCATGACTGATCATCCAGATAAATATACACGATACAGTTTCCTTGTCAAGTTGTAAAGCTTGTAAAGTGTTTGTTTTGTCCTGTGCAACAGTATACAGTTGAAGTCAGAATTATTAGCCCTCCTAAGTTGTTACCCCCCTTGTATGTTTTTGCCCTAATTTCTGTTTAGATTTTTTTTTCAACACATTTCTAAACACAATAGTTTTAATAACTCATTTTTAATAACTCATTTCTTTTATTTACTGTCATGATGACAGTAAATAATATTTCGCTAGATATTTTCAAGACACTACTATTCAGCTTAAGGTGACATTCAAAGGCTTAATTAAGTTAATTAGGCAAGTTAGTGTAATTAGGCAAATCATTGTATAACGATGGTTTGTTCTGTAGACAATCAAGGAAAAAAGTATTGCTGAAAGGGGCTAATAATTTTGACCTTAAAATGTTTTTTTTTATTTTTTTTATTGAAAACTGCTTTAATTCTAAAACAAATAAGACTTTTTCCAGAAGAAAAAATATTATAGGAAATAAGTGAAAAATTACTTGCTCTGTTAAACATCAATTGGGAAGTGTTTGAAAAATAAAATTCACAGGAGAGCAATACATTTTGACTTCAAACTGTAAGTTGAGATAAAGCAGAACACAATGCATCTCTTCAGAAATCCAACCGATAGTCAAACTGATAGCAAACAAAATATTGGGTTGTTCACATCTGCTGGGTTTACATTGATGTGTTTTCTGCGATGGTATAGCTACCTGATTTGTGAAAATGTTTCCATTTACACTTGACCACATAAAGGCGCTATCTCCGTTAAACAGATATGATTTTCATATATTGATATTGATCTTCAATTTCCACGCTAAATGCAAATGCAACTAGGTTATGTTGATTAAATATACATCATGTTTTTTAAATAATATAATTTTAAAGAAACGTAAGCTATATATTTTATTTGCCAAATTCTGGTGATTTTATATGGCTAAAAGAGGCTTTGTAGGCTACTATAGTCACAAGCGCACACATGGCTGGTTCCATGATTACTGTCATTCGGCTAAAAGTAGCTACATCTGTTTTTGTTGTACATGCAAGAAATCATTTAAAACTGTAAAGGGTTTACATTCATTTTTGTAGAGTCTAGTCCCCCCCAAAAAAAGAGTCTAATTGAAAGAAATGCTTTAGCTTATTTATTTTATTAATTTTCTCTACATTGAGAGAGGCACTACATGTGCATGATGTGTATCTGTTGTTAATGCTGCCATCTGATATTAATTTAACATTCTAATTTGATCATTTAATGAAGAGCTATAATGAAAATAAAATAAAATGAAAAAAATGTATCAAAATGAATCGATTGTTCCAAACTCTCACATCACATTGTGTTTTGCATTAGCAGTGTTGTATCTTTATGTACTGTTTATACACACCATAACATAGTCTAATGTGTTAATTTTGTTTTACATTTTGGGTGGACTAAAATTGATGTGCTTTCAACAACCAGGTTTGGTCCAAAACCTGTTTTTATTTATCTGGAAACGACCTCCTGATGTGGTTTGACGATCGGATTTTCTATTTTTCTCTAATGCGTTTCAGAAATACACACATGAAGTGAACAGGTGTAAACAGCCCCATTGACACAGTAAAGTTATCTGAAGCACAGAGATTACAGCAGAATTCAGATTTAGTGTGTTAGATGTAGCCTTATCTGTGCGTGTGTATTGATGGCTTTTATTATTTTTTTCTCCAGGATCATGAGCATGCCACGTTTGATGATATTTTGGGTATGTACAAAAAAATCTGTGTGTGTTTGTGTGTGTTTGAATCTCATTATTTCGGCATGTGGGATGAAGGTGAATTTACTATTGATTTTTACATAAAAAAAAAAACGATTGGGTTTCTGATAAATGACACTGGATCAGAGAAAAAACTGAATTTGTAGTGTGGCTATTTTTCATTCATAGTGTTTTTAAGACGAAGAAAATACCAAATTTATCGTTTGGTTCTCATTTTTTTATCAACAGTGGCTATAGTATTAATGATTATTTGACCAAATGACATGTAACAAATTATGATAACTATAAAAAATCGTTCATTTTAAGAGCCAGTAATAGATTAAGTAATATTAATCAATTTTGTTTAGCATTGCATTTTAAGTAATGGTTCTTCAGTGGCTTGTCATGTGTTAAAGGATTTTAAATGCACAATATGGATTCAAAATGCTTTCACATATGACAAGCCGTTGATTATTCCACTTGTACCATGGTCCTTTGCCAAGTTAAACACAAAAAAATAAACCAATGTCCTGTCAAAAATTTCCCTAAGTCCTAAGAAAAGGGTGTACAAACTCAGTCCTGGAGGGCCGATGTCCTGTTAGTTACAACCCCAATTAAACACACCCGAACCAGCTAATCAAGCTCTTACTGGGTATACTAGAAACTTTCAGGCATGTGTGTTGAAGGAAGTTGGAGCTAAACTATGCAGGACACCGGCCCTCTAGGACCGAGTATGGGTGTATGGGTGTTTCCCAGTACTGGGTTGCAGCTGAATAGGCATCCACTGTATAAAACATATGCTAGATAAGTTGGCTGTTCATTCCCCTGTGGCAACCTCCCTGACAAATAAAAAGGACTAAGCTAAAAGAAAATGAATGAAATAAACACTGAAGGTATTAATTAAGTTGTAAATTGACTGATTTTGTTTCTGTAGATAATTGTTTTACAATTTAAAAACAATCCTGCCAGTGTGCTGCCATGGGAACGAAAACAGCATAAGTCATAAAATATTTACGATTGGTAAAATTAAATGCTTCAATGCAACCATATAAATATAATATATGGAACATTTCAAATATTTTACCCACAGAATAAAAAACAACCCATGTCAAGTGGATAAAAGTACCATGAGAAATGTTAAAATCCTTTTGGTCCCACTTTATATTAAGTGGCCTTAACTAGTATGTACTTACACAGGAATTAATAGTTTGTTAGAATGTTCTTATTGTGTAAATACATGTATTTACTGTGTACTTATGCTTGATTAAATACATGTATGTAATTACATCTTTAAATAACTTTTGTAATTACATGTATAAATACTCTGTTGACCATCCCTTACACCTTAACCCACCCTTAAACCTATCCATACCACCAAACCTGTCCATAACCCAACCTCTATCCCAACTCAAAAGCACCACAAGTGTTTTGAAATACATTATAAACACAGTAAGTACATTGTATTTATTTTTTGATGTAAGTACATAGTAGTTAAGGACACTTAATATAAAGTGGGACCATACTTTTTTAATGAACTATATAGTACGGAAGTCTGCAATTTTAGACGCAGCCTGACTAGATCTACTGTTCATTAACAATTTTATTGCACACCTTCCAGCCAATCAGAATCAAGAATTTCAACAGACCTCGAAATAAATATAAATTATCTTTAGAAAAATGTTTGAGAGGGACAAAAATAGCGTATTTTGTCATTATCAAAGAGTGTTGATTCTCTTCAGATTTAATCAATCCAAATATTTCTGCGTTATATCATACACTCAGAAATAAAGGTACGCGAGCTGTCACTGGGGTGGCACCTTTTTAAAAGGTAAAAATTTGTACCTAAAAGGTCCATATTAATACATCAGTATTAAAGTACAGCAGTGTTCCTCTTCAATTTTTTAGGTACTAATATATACTTTTGAGGCACCAGTATGTACCCTTTAAGTACAAATGGGAACCTTTTGAAAAGGTACCACCCCAGTGACAACTCATGTACCTTTATTTCTGACAGTGTACTCATAGGCTGGATTAACCTTTATTTTTTACTCTCAGGAATAATTTATTTATGTGTCATATTATTGTGTGTCATGACTATGAAATGTCATGGTTGTCAGCATTACCAGTACACTCCGACACTCCTAATTAACATTATAATGATATTTCTGTCTTTTTTTTTTAATTTCACAATGCCAGTGCACTACCGGGCAAAAGTCTTGTCTGTGATCATGCTTGTAAGAGCAACAAATAATAACTTGACTTCTAGTTAGTCATTTGGTAAAGTGGCAGAAGGTAGATTTTTCTGATGAATCATCTGTTGAACTGCATCCCAAACATCACAAATACTGCAGAAGACCTACTGGAACCCGCATGGACCCAAAATTCTCACAAAAATCAGTCAAGTTTGGTGAAGGAAAAATCATTGTTTAGGGTTACATTCAGCATCGGGGTGTGCGAGAGATTTCCAGAGTTGATGGCAACATCAACAGCCTGAGGTATCAAGACATTTGTGCTGCCCAACACATTAAAAACTACAGGAGAGGGAAAATTCTTCAGCAGGATAGCACTTATTCGCATCCTTCAGCCTCCACATCAAAGATCCGGAAATCAAAGGAGGTCAAGGTGCTCCAGGATTGGCCAGCTCAGTCACCAGACATGAACATTATTGAGCATGTCTAGGTAAGATGAAAGGGGAGGCATTGAAGATGAATCCAAAGAATCTCAATGAACTCAGGGAGTTCTGCAAGAACGCTTTCTTTGCCATTCCAGATGACTTTATTAATAAGTGATTTGAGTCATTGCAGAGATGTATGGATGCAGTCCTCCAAGCTCATGAGAGACATACACAATATTAATTCTTTTTCCACTGCACCATGACTTTATATTTTATACTGTACATTATTTCTGTTAAGTGACAAGACATTTGTCTAAGCAAAGTCAGACCTTAGTGTCCTAATTAAATAATAAAAAATGATGGCATGCTCATATTTTATTTTGGTAAAATAAGTGTAATCTAGAGGCCTTTGCCTTTCATATAAGCCACTTCTGATGGCAAATGATCAACTAGAAGTCAAGTTATTATTTGTTGTTCCTTTGTTCTTATTTTTGTAAACAAAAATAATGTGCAAAACATAGGTTTCAATCTGCATTTAAAATTCCACAATCTTTATCCAATAAAATATGTTGTTTTTGAGGAAAAGGTCATTTAAAGGCCTTAGATGTCAACTCATGCATAATTCCTGTAAAATATCATGGTCATCCTGACAGTCTGTTTGTTTCGTGTGCAGAGGAGATTGAGAAGAGATTGACAGCCTACAGAAGGGGCTCTAAAATCTGGCGAATGCTGATCTTCTGTCAGGTGAGAGATAAACAAGGCGTCCAAACCCACACAATGACAGAAAATAAGACTGTAAGTGCATTTGAGTGAATCGGCAGCAGATAGTCATGCACTGCTGCGTTTGATGTTGGTAATGGTTTTGTTCAGGTGGACAGCAATTCACAAGTCTCTGTTTCTCAGTTCATGGGTTCTGATCTCCTGTTGTTTGAGTTTGATGTTATGTAAGGTTGTCATTTTCTGTCTCAGGGAGGCCCAGGGCACCTCTATCTGCTGAAGAATAAAGTGGCCACGTTTGCCAAGGTGGAGAAAGAGGAAGACATGAGCCAGTGAGTGGGATACATGCTTTTCTTTTCTGTCACATTATATTTCTTTAGTGTTTCAAGGGATCCTAATATGTTCTTTTTACAAGATGTGACATATGAAGTCTCGAGTGTCTCCAGAACACACTTTTGAAGTGTCAGCTCCAAATACTTCCTAGATGATTTTTAAAACATGCTTAAATGCAGCTTTTTGGGTCAAAGCAAAACAAGCTGCTTTTGTGTTTGGATTGGTGAATCGTCAAGGATATGCATGACAAAAAAAAAAGGATAGATTTAGTATTGTCGTCATTTAGAATGCAGGAAACATTCTGACATTTACATTTGACATTAAACATTTATTTGTTTTCCATGGACCTCTTGTTATAAAAACTGCAGTGTTATCAAATCTGTTACAATTTTGAGCCAAATCTTAAAATTGTCCTATGGTGTGACTGTTTTATACAGAAACCCGGTAGGGACATGATGGTGGGGGAAAAAACTGCGTGGGAGGAAAAAAACTGTGATAGGAAACTATATTTTTTATAGTTTTTGCGTTCCCTTGCAAAGATGTTTTGCGGTATCTCGCAGAACTGTTATTTCATAAACACGTCTTGTTCACTTCATACATGTCAACCCTCCTGTTTTTGCCAGGATTCTCCCATAGTTTACCATTCTTTTACGCTATCATCCTATCATTAAGTATTTTCCCATATTTCTCCCATATTTTTAATCTTGAAAGCATGTTGAAATTAATATAAAAATGTCTGCATTCATTCCATTAAAACTTTGCGCCCTTCATATGCAACCTGAATTGCATATGAATCTGAATCAGCCAATGCATGAATAACCGCTGACTGACTTATGTGCTTCTGTTCCCAGATCAGCTTCTTTAAGTGAAGTTTATTTATAAACTACTTTCGAGAGGATCATGTGCTGATGATGGAATACAGCTGGTCATGCATTATCCAATTCAAGATTCACCAATCAAACGATTCCTAAGTCACTATAAATTCCTATAAAGTTCCATGAAACAGCCATCTTCGTTTTGAAGAATCCCCCTTCCACCCCTACTGCTCCTTTTTTCCTGGATGGGTGGCACGGTGGCCCAGTGGTTAGCACTGTTGCCTTACAGCAAGAATGTCACTGGTTCTAGTCCTTACCAAGGCAGCCAACGCTTCTGTGCGGAGTTTACATTCTCCCCGTGCTCACGTGGGTTTTTCCCCGGGTCCCCCTTTTTCCTCCCACCGTCCAAAAACATGCAACTTAAGTTAATTGACTAATCCAAATCTGCACCATAGACATGCACCTACACTCTCAGAAATAAAGCTATGCAAGTTGTCACTTAGGTGGTACCTTTTTAAAAAGTACACATTGGTACCTCAAAAGGCGTGCCCAACCCTGTTTCTGGAGATCGACCTTCCTGCAGATTTCAGTTGCAACCCATATCAAACACACCTGCCTGTAATTATCAAGTGCTGTTCAGGTCCTAATTAATTGGTTCAGGTGTGTTTGATCAGGGTTGGAGCTGAACTTTGCAGGAAGGTCGATCTCCAGGAACAGGGTTGAGCACCACTGTACCTAAAAAATTGAAGAGGAACACTTTTGTACTTTTCAGGTACTAATTTGTACCCTTGAGGTATTAGTATTGACCTTTTAGGTACAAATTTGCAACTTTTGAAAAGGTACAACCCCAGTGACAGCTTGTGTATCTTTATTTAGAGTGTTGTAAGTAACAAGCATGAATTAGGATTTGAATTTAGTGTGTCGACATATTAGCACCAAGGTACTCACAGAGACCCAAGTTCAATTCCCGGCTTTGAGGTCCGTTGCCGATCCTTCCCCTCTCTCTGCTTCCCATGATTTCCTGTCAAATCTCTACACCAGGGGTCACCAACCCTGTTCCTGGAGAGCTACCTTCCTGCACATTTCAGTTGCAACCCTGACCAAACACACCTGTTTGTAATTATCAAGTGCAGCTTTAGGTACTATTAATTGGTTCAGGTGTGTTTGATCAGGGTTGATACTGAATTCTGCAGGAAGGTAGCTCTCCAGGAACAGGGTTGGTGACCCCTGCTCTACACTGTTCTATCCATTAAATCACAGGTGTCAAACTCAGTTCCAAAAGGGCCGCAGCTCTGCACAGTTTAGTTCCACCCCTAATAAAACACACCTGATCAAACTAATTGAGTAATTCAGGCTTGTTTGAAACCTACAGGTAAGTGTGTTGGATCAGGGTTGGAACTAAACTGTGCAGGGCTTCGGCCCTCCAGGAATTGAGTTTGACACCCCTGCATTAAATATTGAAAACCCCTAAAAACAATAAACAAATTAAAATAAGATAAATGCTGTACATGTATTGCTCAGTATCATTTTATGTTAGTCAATACATACTAGTGTAACCTTATTGTATATTGTGACCAAAAAAGCACAGTTTTATTCTATATAATATAATAACTATTATTATCTGAGGGTTTTGCTCTTGTGTTTGTGGTGTACATGCAGATTTTGGAAACGCCTGAGCCGGTTTATGAGTAAATTAAATCCAGAGCCGAACCTGATCCACATCATGGGCTGCTACGTGCTGGGCAATCCGAATGGAGAAAAGGTACAGTATTTCAAGTTCTGCAGTATTTATGTAGTATGTGTACCTTGACTTTCTGCATTATATTTAGAAATGGTCCCTGTGGGCCCTGCCGAGGCCATGTTCAGTGCTCACCTCTTTAGACACAGACATGCACCAGCTCCATCTTTCCATTTTTCTATACAACACCTCTCTGTCTGTCACTATCATGCCTTGACAGTCTTTTTCCCCAGTTATGTAACCTAAAATAACTCGTTCCTGTCCAGCGCAGTATATATACTTGGGCTAAATAGCATAGACTGTAAAAAAAAACAAAGTATTCCTTCCATTGTGTAAAAAAAAGTGACACCTTGGTGTCAAATCACAACCAAACTCCAGAGGACTCCAATCGCAAACATTTTTGTTGCATTAAAAAATAGAATATAAGCAAATGTATTTAAACACAAACACACAAATACATCAATGTAACAGGTTGTGGAGGAATAAAACATTTTTTAATGTTCTTTATCATAAAATAATCATTAAAATGCATCACGTTTTACTTAAAATATCGCACACAGAGTTGGGTTTAACGTGTTACTGTATTCCAATTACATTTTTGAGGAACGCAATAATGTAACAAATTACATTTTACATTTGTGTCATTTGATCAGTTACTAAAGTCAATCTAATTGAGTTACTTACGTTACAAATATAGTTTTTAGAAGAAAAAAATGCTTAAATAATGTTTTCCGCTGCAGCATTAGTTTGTATGCATGTGCTTTTAAATAACTGGAGAACAAGAGCTGAAATGGCTACAGTCGAGAGCAGCTGCTTCTTCAAGTTGAAATACAGACATTACTTTGATTTCATTGACCGTAAGAACATTAATATTGCTGTGAAATACAGTCTCTAAAGAATTTTGGACTACTTTAATCTCGACCAGCAACTTGTTCAAGCATTTGAATAAAAAGCATTCTATGACAATATTCATCACCAAGAGGAACACCCCGGCTCACCCAATTGAAAACCGGGAGTCATGTGACAAACACTGCAGTGCTTTTTCATACTATGGATGCCAATATTTACAGTTATCCAATTTTGTTCTAAATGTCAAAAAAGAAAAGAAAAAAAAAGACAAACAGGTTTGGAACTAGTGAATGATCAGAGAATTTTAAGGTTTGGGCGAACTGTCTCTTTAAGTCTTTTGAATATGTCAAGCTGCTATTATCAATCCATTATTTTTAGTGAATGTTAAATGATTGAAAGTGCTGCAGTTTATTTTGTATTTCTATAGGTATATTTTATGTTTTAAAAGTAGCTTCAAAGTAAAGTAATAAGTAATCTGATTCCTTTTTACATTGATTTATTAGTAGTGTAATCAAATTACAATTGTCCTGTAGTAATCAGTAATTTGTAATCTATTACTTTTTAAAGTAATTCACTCAAAACTAGTCGCGCATAGCTTTTATCATTGACAATTAGGGTTATTGTTGTGAATCACAACTGTAATTAAAACTACAATAATTAAATGTTTACTTTAACAACATTTTTTTTACAATATTTAATTATTTTATTTCAGTTAGTTGCTGAGGTCTAAACCAAAGCTGAAATAAAATGTATATCCTGTATATATTAAAAAAGACTTTAAAAAAATTCAAAATGACTAAACCTTTAAAATTAAGAACACGACAAACATATACATTTCTAATGTTTATAAAAACCAAAATGGGAGATTGTACAAAAATAGTAAACTCATACAATAATAACACTGATATAATACTGAATATTTAGAAACCTTCCTTGTGCAGCAAAAAAGCACATTAAAATGATTTTCGAAGGCTATAAACATTCAGTCATCATTGGAAAAAATTACATTCATAAATATATTAAAATTCATTCATTCATTTTCTTTTCGGCTCAGTCCTTTTATTAATCAGGTGTCACCACAGCAGAATGAACCGCCAACTTATCCAGCATACGTTTTACACATCGGATGCCCTTCCAGCCAAAACCCATCACTGAGAACACAGATACACACCCAATCACACACATACACTACAGACAATTTAGCTGACCCACTTCACCTACAAAACATGTCTTGTGGGGGAAACCGGAGCACCCTGAGAAAACCCACGAGAACACTGGGAAATATATATTAAAATTCAAATTTTTTTATTAATTGTAATTAAATTTTAGTTAGCTTTAATTAAATAAATGCAACGTTGACGAGCAGAGGAGCACATACAGACCCCATTTGTACAGCATTACACATGAAACCTAAAATGTTCAGCTGTCAACATAGGAATAAATTACATTGGGAAATATATAAAAATTCCAAATGGTTATTTTACAATTTTACTGTATTTTTAATTAAATAATTGCCACGTTGATGAGTAAAAAAAAACAAAAAAAAACAGACCCCAAACATATCACAAGACACCCAAACTAGTTCCTGTGATCGCTAACATCTGATCTGAGACGCTCTGACTGTTGGATTTGAGACGTCTGCGTCAGTCCTGTAGGGTCGGCCTTGACTTTGAGCTCGCTCCGTCTGTTCGGTGGCCTGATGAGTGTTTTATGACAGGAGCCCCGAGATTAAGCCCCGAGGACACATTCATGCTGCCCTTGGAACCGAATGTACGATAGCACTTCTATGGGGAGACGGGTTCAGCGTAAATCTCATTCGCCGTGCGTCATTGCCCGACAGGCCACCACCGTTCCTGAGAAATGCATTTATATGTGTTCTTGTGATTGACACACGGATGACTGACTCGTGTGAGTTTGTGAACATGTTGGGTGATCAACCGACAGAAATATGGCTAAATATGACGAGCTTTAGGAATGTTTTAGCATCAGGTTTGTGGCGTCCTCTTAATGTGGTGGTTACATTCTCGTCTTTATTAGTTCTAAAAAAATATTCATTGCATTTACTATTATTCTTTAAAGGTAAGTGGTTGCAAACAAGAAATATGGGCTGAATTTAAACAAATTAATTTAATTTTGTAATGTTCAGCTTAATTTGTTTGCTTAAATTCAGCCCATATGAATTGTTTACAACCACTTACCTTAAAAAATGTAGCATATCCAATGAATATTTTTTTTTAATGTATTGTATGTGTGAGCCAGAAGAGAAAATCTGTGTATATAAACTCATACTTAAAGGGAAAGTTCACCCTTCGCTTCTCACACACCTGTTTGAGTTTCTTCTGCTTTAGAACACAAAAGAGAACATTGAAAAATGTTGAAAACCGGTAACCATTGACTTCCATAGTATTTGTTTATCCTACAAGTGATGTGAACATTTTTCTACTGTATCAATTCATGATTTGGTGACACAGTGGCTCAGTGGTTAGCACTGTTGCCTCACAGCCAGAAGGTTTGACTCGTTTTGTACTAGTTTTGGTGGTTTATAAGGACACAAATTTGTATAATGACATGGCCATAACTTACAAAGTTGAGGTGGTTTATGAGGGGATGCTCTGTGTCCTCATTATTCAAAACACTTAAACATAATAATTAACAGGTTGGTGTCACAGTGGCTCAGTGGTTAGCACTGTCACCTCACAGCAAGTAGGTTGTTCGCGTGGGTTCCCTTCGGGTGCTCCGGTTTCCCTCATGACATGTTTCCAAAGACATGTGGTATAGGTGAATTGAATAAATTGCCCATTGTGTATGTGTGTAAATCTGAGAGTTGTATGGGTGTTTCCCAATTCTGGGTTGCAACTTTAAAGGGTATCCACTGCGTAAAACATATGTTGTCAGTCCATTCCGCTGTGGCAACACCTGATGAATAAAGAGACTAAACCAAAGGAAAATGAATGAATAAATGAATTCATGATGTCAAGCAGGACAATACGCTCTTTTTACACTTTGTAAAAACAAGCTTTAAAATATTCTTGTCAGTAAATCCAATAGATATCATTGTTTGATTGTTATTAAGTATATGTATTTTTATTTGTGGATTTTTTTGTGTGTTTTTCAATTGTTGTTTAATGTACAAAATTGTTAATAATTTTGCATCTTCACCATTAAAGGATTCTGTTTCTGACTACAAAAAACTAACTAGAGCTTCATCAAGATGTGACTGAAGAATTTTAGAGAGTACTGATTTTGGTCATTCTGCTTTTTCTGTAAGAGTTGTTAATAATTAGGATAATTTACCAACTATCATTAAACAGAGTCTTACTTCAGCACAGTTCAAGCTGCATTTGAAATGCTGGTTAAACTGCATTAGGTGTGTGAGCATTAAGTGGGAGCTTATCGTTTAAATTTTTGATGTAATTTATTTTATTTTGATATTGTGTTGATGTTTTTGTTATGTGATATGTATCTGTATTCTCCTGCCCAGGGGCTGCAGATGAAATTTAGCTAAGATCAGATGTGCTCCAACAAATTTTTTATCTGTTATCTTGTTTCTTTTGTTTATGTAAAGCACTTTGAATTGCCATTGTGAATGAAATGTGCTATTTAAATAAACTTGCCTTGTCTAAGTAGGTAAATCTGGGGGAGTTCTCTGACCGTCTGTAGTAATGAATACATAAAAATCATTCAGGGCTGCACGGTAGCTCAGTGGTTAGTACTGTTGCATTACAGCAAGAAGGTCGCTGGCATTTCTGTGTGGAGTTTGCATGTTCTCCCTGTGTTCATGTCGGTTTCCTCCGGGTGCTCCGGTTTCCCTCCACAGTCCAAAGACATGCGCTATAGGTGAACTGAATAAACTAAATTGGCCATAGTGTATGAGTGTGAATGTGAGAGTGTATTGGCATCCACTACATAAAACATATGCTAGAATAGTTGGCAGTCCATTCCGCTGTGGACCCCTGATGAATAAAGGGACTAAGAATTTGGAAACTGAATGAAAGAATTTAAAAAATCATTCAAATCTGTTATGATTACCAAAAAAGAGAAAGTCATAAATATTTGTAACCACTTTAAAGTGAGTTAGATTTTATTTTAGGGTGAACTATACCTTCTGTGATGAGTTCACCAAAAAACCAAAGCTGTTAACATTTACTCACCCTGCACTACTTTTCCTGCTCTATATGTTTAATCTATAAATACTTATTTTCTTTCTGTAAAATTCTGCCATTCATATTTTAAATATGTGCATATGACAGAGCAAAGCTTTCAACTTTGGTTCCACTTTCTTTTTTCTGTTGAACAAAAAAGTATTTTGAAGAATGTATGGGTTATTTTATTTTTTATTTTTTTGAAAAAATATCATCTATCGACCATTTGTGGTTTCTGGGTGAACTGCCCCTTTAATCCCCAAAGGCTCTCGGAGCGGCACGTGGATGTTCAGATTTAACGGAGTTCTTTTGAAGGGTCTCGTTTGCCCTTGCAGTTGCCCGTGTGAGATTTATCCGGGGCCACAAAGACTGAGGCTGTCATTATCCCTAACTAACCTCCTCGAGTCCTAGGAGAGAGTGTGTGAAAGCGAGAGATGTGCGAGGGGGTAAAAAAAAAAGAGGATTATTAATGTCTGGGCTTATCATGTGCCAACAGCTGTTCCAGAAACTGAAGAACCTGATGAGGCCTTATTCTGTCACGTTTGAGTCACCGCTGGAGCTCTCCGCTCAGGGTGAGACCAAACTGCTGAAATCAGCTTATGCTCACACTCCTACACACTTACAAACACATGAATTGAAATCAAGTGTTTGTTAATGAAATGTATGGAAAATGTACATGTTTACTGATCTGCATACTGTACACTGCATACTAAATTTTTCACCAACAATGTGAGTTCTGATTTTTAGGTACCTTTATGACATTCCAAACTTAAGCAAGCTTGTTTCCAACATGAAATAAAAATATATATATTGGTTTATTACATGGGAGAAACAAGCTGGCGAACAGCCATACAAACAAAATTGTACATCTTTTGTTGTTGTTGTTGTTGTTGCTTTTTTATATATATATATTCTCATACATAGCTATTATTAAATCTAATGTACTGCATGTATGAAAATTTTTTATAGTTTTATTTATAGGTAGGCATGGCCACATACATTATATTATATTTAACTGTATTAATAATTTTACTGTTTTTATCTTAGTGAGGTTTCAAGACTTGTATGACATGGCAACCAGTATGACAGATTTGTACTTTTATAATAAACTACACTCACTGGCCACTTTATTAGGAACACTTTACTAGTACCTGGTTGGATCCAGTTTTGCCCTCAGAACTGCCTTAATCCTTCATGGCATAGATTCAACAAGGTACTGGAAATATTCCACAGAGATTTAGGTCCATATGACCATGATAGCATCACACAGTTTTGACGCACACTGCAGATTTGACAGCTGCCCATCCATGATGCGAATCTCCCGTTCCACCACATCCCAAAGGTGCTCTATTGGATTGAATCTGGTGACTATGGAGGCCATTTGAGTACAGTGAACTCATTGTCATGTGCAAGAAACCAGTCTGAGATGATGATGAATGGGATGACTGTTATGATAACTGTATGGCATGGTGTGTTATCCTGCTGGAGGTATCAGAAGATGGGTACCCTGTGGTCATAAAAGGATGGACAGCAACAATATTTAGGTAGGCTGTGGCTTTGACATGATGCGTTGGTACTAATGGACACAAAGTGTGCCAAGAAAATATCCCCCACACCATCTCCACCAGCCTGAACCATTGATACAAGGCAGGATGGATCCATGCTTTCATGGTGTTGATGCCAAATTCTGACCATACCATCCGAATGCCGCAGCAAAAATCAAGAGTTACTTTGAGTTACTGTTGCCTTTCTATCAGCTGGAACCAGTCTGGCTATTTTCTTCTTACATCTGGCATTAACAAGGCATTTGCGCCCACAGAACTGCCGCTCACTGGATATTTTCTCTTTTTCTGACCATTCTCTGTAAACGCTAGAAATGGTTGTGCGTGAAAATCCCAGTAGATCAGCAATTTCTCAAATACTCAGACGAGCTCATCTGGCATCGACAACCATGCCACATTCAAAGTCACTCCAATCACCTTTCTTCCCCATTCTGATGCTCGGTTTGAACTGCAGCAGATTGTCTTGACAATTTCTACATGCCTAAATGCATTGAGTTGCTGCTATTTGATTGGCTGATTAGAAACTTGCTTTAGCGAACAGTTGGATAGGTGTACCTAATAAAGTGACCGGTGAGTGTATATGTTTATAACAATTCATTTTAGTGCAGTTTTACAACTAATTGTAACTAATTGCGTACAAAATAAGCGTTTATATTTACATAATATATTTGCGTCTACTGTGTATATTATTATGTGTATGTAAATGCACACATATATACTTAAAAATAATTAGACATTAATATTTCTATATAATTTATGGTATATGTAATTATTTTATAAATAAATAAAAAACTTTTTATCCATATATATAATATTTAAATATACACAGTACAAACAAGATTATTGTGTAAATGTGAACTTTTAATTAATCATTTTAAATCGAATTAATCGATTAAACAGCACTAATCTATTTAACAATATTTTCATTTTTTTTATCTTAATTTTCCCTACCTGTCCTGATCTGACATACCCTCTATTCTCTGACTCTCAATTTTCTTTATCATTTCTTTCTCATCTACATTGTCTCTCACATCATGCTGTTTTCCAATTACCAGCAGAGCGAATCTGCGTGGAAGTGTCTGTTCATCACAGAAAGAGACGTGCTCTCATTGAAATGTAGTTCAGAATCATATCTTCTTCTCTATTCTACCTCTCTTTTTCTTTTAGGCAAAGAAATGATTGAGATGTACTTCGACTTCCGCCTGTTTCGACTTTGGAAAACCCGACAGCACTCAAAACTCCTCGACTACGAAGATCTCTTGTGACCCCGCGCAGGTCTGCGTGTAGCATTCCGGGCAGGACGTCCCACTATAAAACTCCATTCCACCAGCTTTCATTTCAGAAAACGGGAGGAAGAGGAAAACAAGTGGAAACGGACGCAGCCACTTTGCGTCTCAAGTCTTATTTCAGCTCGCCGTTGTGGATTTCAGCCACCTCTGGACGGTAACACACAAAAACAACTGACAAACGCTCCAAAATCCAAGACAAACCGGGATAGAGCAAAGGGAAGGTGTTCTTCTGAACTAGCTGTCAGTCTGTTGACTGTTTTTAAACTAACATATCGCCTACAGCTATTGATCACTAGCCGAGACAGTTGTGCTTTTGAACGAGTCCTGCGTGCAATATCGAGTCAAGCGTACCTACCAGTACCCACGGAAACCGTCATATACGAAATAACAACTAATATATTGGTATACATACAGGATAAACATCTCATGAGTATATAGAGTAGCTATAGTCATGCAAATAATCTAAATGTCAATGGTACAATGATGTACTTTTTCAATGTTTATTGTTGTGGTCTTTCTAATGAACTATTTGGAATAACTCAGGTTTTAGCCTTTACGAATATGTTAGATATTCCCTCCTTTATTCCAGTCATTTAGGTGGAAAGAATGTACATTTTGTCGACCTGCTTATATGTGATTGCTTCTGAGGTTTAGGGTTCTTCACGTTTTGACTTGCATCTCCTTATTACAGCGGCGGAAAAAAGTACCGAACACGTCATGTTTTTTTCCTGGGAATAATATTTCTAAAGGAACTGTTGACTTGGAATTGAACCAGATTTTGGTAAAAACCCAAACAATACAAACATAAAAATAAAACAAAACAAAAAAATCTGAACAATGAGTTATGTGTAATAACAATGGAATGATACAAGGAGAAAGTACTGAACTATTCAAATGTATTTAACACCTTTTATCAAAAGGCTTTTTAGTGATGGCGGCTTAAAGATGCCTCTCATAAAATCTTGATGATTCTGTGGGTCTTGTCTATCAAATCTAATCTATTTTTCTATTTTTTTATTTTATTTTTTAATCTATTTTCTATTGGATTCGGATCAGGTGATTGACTGGGCCATTCTACAGCTTGATTTTCTTTCTCTGAAAGCATTTTGAGAGTTTCCTTGGCTGTGTTTTTGATCATTGTCTTGCTGAAATGTCCACCCTGGTTTCATCTTCATCATTCTGATAATGTACAGTAGACGTTGGACTGAAGCAGCTTAAATCCATTTACAATGAGTAAGGGCAGAGGGTTGCTGAAGAACAACTGCAAGATTTCAGCTGCTGTCTGGACTTTCTACACCTCAGTTTCTTCATGTGTTCAATATTTTTCCCTGTGTCATTTCAATTTATTACACATAACTTAATTTGTAAACTAGGTTAGTTTTATTTGCATGTATGGATTTCTTTGGTTGTTGCCAACATATGAGGAAAATTTCAAGTCATTAGCACCTTTAGAAATGTTTTCAGAGAAAAATGGTAACATGTCAAATACTTATTTCCCCCACTGTAAATGCAGAAAACACATAGATCCATGTTGCAAACACAGTGCCCAAACTGAAAAATCGTGACTTACAGTCGTACAATAATAGAAACACTGACCTCAATATAGGCAGACGTCTTTGCCAGGTGCACCTGGAGCGTCAGCAGGATTACAGCGAGGTGTTACAGATTTGCTCAAATAAGCGCTTATGTCAGTGTGTTCATAATAATTAGGCTGTTTTCATGCTCGCTTTGATTGATGGTCTCAACCTGTCCTTCTTAAAACATAATATTTTGCTCCAGCACTTTCACTGTGTGTGAAACACATGTGGTACCAGTCAAAACATTACTCGGGTTTTGTAGTTGGTTTAAGTGCCAAACTTTTACTTTTTTAACTAAATACAAACCATTTAAAAACTATAGGGTCAGTAAAATAGGACTACTCCTTGTTTATGACCCAAAGACAAATAAAGCTATGGGATAAAAATTAGACCCCAAAAATTCTGTTTCTCTGAATTCATGATTTCCAGTTATGTTTTTGAGTTAAATGCATTGTTTTATTATGTAAACTAATGATTGAATTTCTTGTAAAATAAAAATGTTTACTGTTTTCTGGTCAAGTAAATACTGTATCTGAGAACATCTGAGACTTTTTAAAATAATCCAAAACCTTTGAACAGTTCACTGAAGGCAAAAGTATTAGCCCTTTTGTGAAAGTGTAATTATTTCCGAAGTGCTGTTTAACTGAGAAAGTGCATTTTCACAATATTTGTTGTTTTGTTTTTTCTTCTGTAGAAAGTGATTTGTTTTAAATCATTTGAATATTTTTATTTTTCACAAAATAATTTAATGTGAAATAAAAGCATTTTCATTTTGTTCATATTTTCATTTTATGAATATCATTAGCCCCTTAAGTAAATGTTTTTATTTCCAATTGGACACAGAACAAACCACTGTTGTCCAATGACATGTCTAAATAACCTAACTTCCCTAATTAACCCAATTAGCCCGGGTAATGCCGCGGTCACACTTGAATTTGTGCATACGAAAAGAGGCGAGCATAAACAAAATGATTAGACATTTAAAAAAGCGAGCGATTGGTCCATATTTTAAATTTCTGTCCAGAGAGGTCATGTTTCAATCTTCGATTGGTCTCACGCACATACCTGATGCAATTTTGCAGGTCAGAGTTCACCAAGCTTGAACTTTCAAATGCAGCGAACTGTAAAACTTGTCGCACGAGCTTGCGTTTCTGGTCTGACGCTTTCGCATGCATATGAATGTAAGTCTATGGGCCGAAAAGTCCAATGTGACGACAGATTAAGCCTTTTAATAGAATATCTAGTAAAATATCAAGTATATCTTCTTTATACCAATATATAGTATATCTTCTCTCCTTTAAACAGCACTAAGGAAATATTTGATAAAAAATGTAAATTTGACAGGCAGTATGGTGGTGCAGTGGGTATCGCTGTTGCCTCACAGTAAGAAGGTTGCTGGGTCAGTTGCCATTTCTTTGTTGAATTTGCATGTTCTCCCCGTGTTGGCGTGGGTTTCCCCTACAAGCCCAAAGACATGTGCTATAGGTGAATTGGGTAAGCTAAATTGTCCATAGTGTATGTGTGTGAATGATTGTATGGGTGTTTCCCAGTGATGGGTTGCAGCTGGAAGGGCATCGTTGCGTAAAATATATGATGGATAATTTGGTCGGTTCATTCTGCTGTGGCGACCCCTGATTATTAAAGGGACTAAGCCGAAAAGAAAATGAATGAATTTTTGACAGGAGAGCTAATAATTTTGTCTTCGACTGCATGTACATATATATGTCGCCAATAGTTTTTCATACTCACAAATGAGACTAAATAAAATCTAACTAACACATTTTTTTAACTTGGGAGTGTTTTCATGATGTCAAAATCTCCCCGACCAAATATATCGACTCTAGTATGAAAACAGCCTTATTTTTCCCTTCATTTACTCAAAGCCATTGGTGCGGTGGTGTCATGAGCGGCCATTTTTCTGAAGGTCACTGTTGCCTGAGGGGGCAGGATGGTATTTGATGGCCATATACTGTATGGATAATAGAATGATGCAGACCGTTTAACTGCGGCCTGCAGGTGTAAAACTCTATGCATTCTTCTTCTTCCATTAGTAGCTTTGAGCAACTCTGGAGTTGTTTTTTTCCATGTGTATCTTTATAAATGTTCTAATGTACTCAGCTAATAAGCCATGAACTCTTTCATAAGCTGCTCAGACTGACGCTTCGTTGATGTAAATGACTTCAGGCACTCATGATAAACTTCCAGCTGGTTGAGCGATGGATTTTTCTTTTGTCTTGTTTTTTTTAATGCTCCAACAATGCTAATTGGCTGCTCCCTTGGTATTGTTTAGGCAATCTTACACCTAACTGATAGACAGAATGAAGTTTTGCCCCATGGAAATAAGTGAAAGAGTCAGTACAAGCATTGCTTGTCAGAAGAAATGCCTGTACCTTGTCAAGATGTGCATTATGTGGAATCTCATTTGATTTAGAGGCAATTTAAAAAGAGACACAACTAAATATAAGGGTTTGTTATGCAGAAAAGTATAAAGGCCACCGTATATTTAAGGCAAAATTGTCATTTTGAACAAAATTAGCAAAATTTTATTTTAATTATATTTCAATATCTCATTTTTACTAATAAAAGTTACAGTATTGGAATCTAATATTATTGGATGCCATATTTAACGTCTCATTACAGTATTTGATGATAAATGAGGGATACAAAATATATACAAATGGCCATATCCGTATCAACCAATAATGTTTATTTTTTAATATCATCATTATTAGTCAGGTAAAAAAAATTAAGCAAATTAAAATGAAAGTAAGGATTATTCATCATTACTCATTTCTCACCCTAAAAAAGGGGGGGAAAGAAAGATCTAGATGTTTCCTTGCTGTTTTCTATAGTTTAGATTTTAAAATAAGATCAGTTTTCCACTATTCATTCGATTTCAAGACTGAGATCAGAACTTATTTTCATTAAACTATAGTATATATCAGCTATCAGTTAACAAAATGTAAATGTTCCTGCATTAGTGCTAAATTTTAACTTTCATTTTGAGTAAACTTTGTAGTAGTTAGGATGATTTTAAGGGTCCAGGCAAACACTACACTTCGCTTAAGTCAATAATGGACGTGAGCTGCTGACTCTGGGATGCTAGGTTGCTGCTGGAAGGGCATCTGCTGTGTAAAACATATGCTGGAATAGTTGACGGTTCATTCCACTGTGGCTTAGCCTAAAGGGAATGAATGAATGAATGAATAAACGAACATGAATTCCTAAAATTGAAACTAATATTATAAAAACTAATTAGAAATGTTTTCACAAAATAAAAACTAAACTAAAACCAACAAAACCGTCAGTTAAACAAACTAAAACCAAACTGAAATTTACAGTAAACTTAAAAAAGGCTTCAAAATAAAAATAATAAAAAATTCAAATAATAAAAATTCAAAAATAAAATAAATCTATAATAACCTTGGTTAGCAAAGTTTTGTCTGACTTCAGAAAAATATTTAGCAAGGCATCTAAAACCCCATTTTCCAGTGAATGCACATCTTGACAGCATACGTGTGCTACAAAGACACATCAGCCATTCACGACTTCATGGTGATCTAATATGGCGGATATGCAGAAAATCTAGCTATGATAACCTTTAATTAGTCTCCTGTTCCACTCAGAGTGTGTCCGGATATCAAATACAGTAGGGTTTTTACCACAGGGGCAATTGCTCCTCGGCAGCCGCTCGCTCGCTTCTCCTAAAGGGCTGCACCCCGGCCAGAAAACAGGCTGCAAATGAATTGGACCGATTCTCTAGCAATTTCAGTCATTATGGGGCCATCTGTGACTCACAGTAGGTGTCAGGGATCCTGGCATGTCAGAGAGAAAGAGAGAAAATCCACATTCACTACAGACGGCAACATCACGCTAGTAGGAACATTCAGTGCTGAGAGCGAATGTCCAAAATGAGCAGAACGCATCAAACGGAGGGCATTTAAACCACTCGTGTCAGTTTGCAAATTGATTGATTTACATTTCAGTGCATTAGTGTGGTTTGTCAATGTACTGTAGCAATATATGTAACTCTGCTAAATGTTAACGTTGAGAACTTTTTACTGATTTGTTATATATTTATGCTATTTATTTGGTCTCTGTGCTGGACGGTAATGGCTGTTTGTGCTAAGCTTGATTTCTGTTGACTTATGAAAGAATTTGTATTTTTTGTACACAAAGCTTTGGCAATGTCTGAGTTTACTTTGTATTGCATTTAATTAGCATCAATGTGATCTGCTAGTAACACTTCACAATAAGAGTCCTTTTATTACCGTTAAGTGGAATTAATTAATTACTCTTTTATTTATTTATTTTTATTTTTAATAATAGTTTAAAATATTTTTTAATATTTAATATATATATATATATATATATATATATATATATATATATATATATATATATATATATATATAATTTATTATTTAATAATT